AAATTATATATATATATATATATATATATATATATATATATATATATAATATACACACACATATGTATGTACATACACATATCTGTCACTTACCTGATTGAACTGATTGATTTATAAACCATGAATGGTGTTTTTCCTTGAAAACTTTTATTTCAAACAGCTGCTGAAGACACATATCAAATAAGTAAATGGCTCCGTCCCCTGCAACACAGATGTGTTCAGTATTCACTTTTCTCACAGACATATGTACATCAAAAGTCTGTCCCAAGTTCTGAGGAATGCTCCCAGCAGGAACCTCAACATATGGAGTTATGCTCTACACTCATAGACTCCAAGGAACACTTAGGGGTATCAGGCACAAACATCCAGTTTCCAGCTTCATAATCCTCACTAAACTTAAACTACAAAAGTGAAAGGCACAAGTCATTTACCTTGACTATTACATAGCCTCCTAACTACCAAATCCTAATGGCTGCAACAGATGTGTGAGCTAGGGCCTGCATCTGTCCCTATGCCAGCATGTAACTCTCTATACACAGGAATAAAAACAAGAACCAAGCCCTCAGACGCCACTGGGCACTCTACTGAGAAAGGGAAGGACACTCCTCAAGCCTTGGTCAAACGGATGGAATTTTCCATTTTATTCTTTTAAAGGGGGGAGAGGAGGGCTAGAGGCTCAGGGGTAAAGCACTTGCCTAGCATGTGCCAGGTCCAGGGTTCAATTCTCAGCAAATCAGATGGGTGGGGCCAGCAGGGGTGAAGTCTGTGCATATCTGAGGTTTTTACCCCTAACTCGGGTCCAGGGTCAGTCCTCAGTAACCTGGCTCTATTCGGTGAGAAAAAAACGGGAGAGAAGGGATGCATATCCGATATTTTATCCTCAACTCATCAAATCTTTTTCTAACCACAGAGCAACCTCTGAAATCTCTGGAATCACATGCCTAGTGTGACACTGGAGACATTACCTAACCCTCATTATGGCTCAGCTTGCTCATCTGGATACTGGAAAATACTGACCACCTCAGAGGGCTTTTATGAGGACTGAACAAAAGAAAAAACCCATACATTTCCTAGAGCACTACCCAGGACACATGAAGTACTTGACTTAGTCCTTTCCTCTCCACCAAGAGTGAAGATAAAACACCCATGCCTCATCTGTGCACATCTAAATGAAACTGGAGTTGTGAGGAAGCCACTTTCTCTTGCTAAGTGTGTTAGAACGGACTGCCACCTAAAGCCTCTGAATTCCTCATCTAAACTCCGCCTGTTCCAGCGTGGCTCAACAACCCTGCCTGTTCCAATGTGGCTCAATAACTCTGCCAGTTCCAGCGTGGCTCAACAGGTGTATTGAATTTCACTTGGAGGAAAGACACTAAAGGTGGTGGGGTGTTTGTTTTTGTTCTGTTTTACTCTCATTATTTACACATCTTTCCAACAAAACACTACCGATGGGCTTTCCTCATTCACTAGGCACTGACCATCACCAGGCATGCCCTGATATATAGGCACCAGGTGCTTACCCAAGCCCTTACAAATTGTAGAAGGGAAATCCAGTGTCACCTCATAGCTAAGTGTATTTTAATACTTTTACCCCAAAATTAGAAAACAAAACAAAATGTGCTGAATATAAAATTAACTTATCTTTCAATAAAACATAAAGCTCTCCAATATACAGCGATTTTAATAAAAAAAAAACCATCATGTAACAGGGGCTGGAGTGAAAGAAAGAACAGCTAAAATATGAAACCAAACAAAATCATGACATGCCCAAGATGGCCTTCTGTGTTTGCACTCAGGTTGTTTATTTTACTGTGCAACACAAAATGAATATAAACACACGCTAGTGTTGGGTAAGCACGCAAAGAAAAGCTGGCATAAGAAAACCAAGGAAATCAATCCATTCCCAGAGAGAACTCAAAAACGCTAATTTTCTATGTAGCCACATTTCTAATGATTCAGCATTCTGTGGAGGAGAAGTATAAAAAAGATCTTCTTTGCAGTGTTCATTGTGATTTATCTTGGAAAATTAATCAGATTGATTTTCCACCACAGGGTGCTGTGAACTTTTAAGTTAATTCAAAATGACACACAGACAAGTAAGCCCTCCACATACACGGAGCACGGTGCTGGAAACAGTCAATGGTGAGAGGACCCCAAGAATCGAGACCCACCTGAGCGCGGGTTGGCCAGTTTTACAAACAGGAGACCACTCTTCATCTTCTTCGAGGCATCTTTTAAATATTCTGAAAAGAAATAGAGAATCTGAGAGATTAAATTCAGTTTCACTTTGAGGATGGACTGTGCATTCACTTTCCCCTGTTCTCCTTTTTTTATTTATGCGATAGTTCTTTCTAAAAGGTTTAATTGCTCATTTATGAGCTGTGTGATCCTTGGTAACAACGGCTGTTTCCCAGGGAAGCTACAGAGGATTTGAGGTAGGTTTAGTTTAGCTCTAGGGGAAGGGATAAGGACATGCTCTAGAGTCAGAAGTAAGCTTCCTCATCTTGGTCAACCATCTTCTCTCCAGTCTCAATCTCCTTTTAGAAGACGGTGATGACAGTATATACTTTTTAAAACTTAAACTAAGTAGCCAAAGGCACTTAGCATAAAATAAATCATAGCTATTACTATGAAGGACATTTTTAATAAACATTAACTAGACCCCTAGTTTTCATTTCTGACACCATTAGTTAATCATATCCCTTGCTCATCTTCTCAGTGGGGTTTTTCATCTTTTTCTTTTTTTAAAAAAAAAACTATTTTATGAGTAGCCTTTATACAATAAAAATAGTAACTGTATTTTAGCTCTATTTGTTTCTAATTACCTTTTTGCCATAAAAAGATATAAATCTGTGTAATCTTATTTGTCATTACTTTGAGTATAAAATATGGGAAAGAAATCCAACTTTAATTTTTTAATGGGTTGTCCATCTGTATCAAAGCCCCCAGAATAAGCCCATAATGAACATCTTTATACTAAACATTTAAATTCATTTGTGGTCTGTCTGTAGACATTCTACTTTGATCCACTAATCTGTGTCTGTCTCAGTGTCAGCACTTCAAGACTTAATTATAACAGATTTACTTTAATCTGTAGGAAGCAAGTGTCTGCAGTGTTTCTCTATAGTATCTGACTGTCAAAGTTTTAATTACATGGATTAAAACATGCAGACCAAGATGACACCTTCAATAGACTGAGCAGCACAGTCAAACTCACACAGACACCAAAGGAACCTGGGGCTCTAGGCAGTCAAGGGGCACAGCCCATCTACCCAGGAGCACCCCAAGAAGGCAGTCAAGGGGGCACAGCCTGTCTACACAGGAGTGCCCCAGGAGGGTGGTCAATGGGCATAGCCCATCTATACAAAAGCTCCCTGGGAGGCCTTGGTGAGGAGCTGAGCTTATTCTCTTTGCTCTGCCTCAGTTCCATATGCACACAGATACTTCAGGCAGGTTGAGAAATTGGCTTTCCATAAACAGAACAGAATCCATAACCAAGAAAAATCTCATTTTAAGATTTCTACTTTCAATTAAGACAGAGTAACGTGAATACAACAAATCACCATGCAAAGCAAGAATCCACCCTTCTAAAGACACTGACCACTAGCCATGCAGAAAAGCAGGCTCACTGCGCTGGCTTATTTCCAGAGGGTTTCCAGGGCCTGGTGCAGAGGAGCAAGGCAAAGCCTGGCTGAATTGTGGCTGGTGTGATAGAGTGAAGAGCTCCAAAGACAAGAGTGATGGAGACCACAGTGAAGAAGGCTGTGTGTGTGCAGGGAGTGGAGCCTCTCTGAGTCTTCATCCGGAAACTGCTCTTCACTTCCACATGAACATGACAGACTCCATGAGACTCAGAGAGTAGAACTCACACCCATTTCCCCAGGTAGAACACTCAACAGGCACTGCCTCAGGAAGAGGCAGCGATTGCTCCTGACTGACACTGCTCAGATCTTGTCGTATTAATTAAAAAGCAACAGCGAAAGATCAGACTCTTCTTGCCATGTAACATATTTTCAAGTCCAAAAACATTTAAGCATACAGAAATATTCATCACCCCAAAAGGCAAATTGATGAGAGGTGGGGAAAAGGTCAGTGCAAGAGAGATTGGTACTATACATGAAACACTAAAACTAAAGGAAAAGGCACAGAAGCAAACCTCATACACAAAATATTAGAGGGACAGAAGACTTTTTAATGATCTAAACTGGGATACTATGGGGGAAAAAAAAAACAACAGAGAACTAACGGCAAACGATAAATGAACCTGAATATTCATTTGGTAACAAAACACTGTAAAAACACAGAAAATTTTAAAAAGGAAATCTGATCTATTGGACAGCTTCAACACCCCCCCCTGCCGTGTGTGTGTGTGTGTGTGTGTGTGTGTGTGTGTGTGTGTGTGTGTGTGTGCGCGCGCGCGCGCGCGTGATGGAAGCTTTCAAATGAGGAGAATTGAGAAGATAAACGTATCTGAAAAGCACATATGAAATGCTTCCAATCTGAGGAAAGCCATAAACTCACACATTCAGGAAGCTCAGTGATCTCAGAGTACACAAAGAAGAAAAAAACCAACATAATCAATAGTTCAAACCCAATAATAAAAAGAAAACTCTTAAAAGCAACCACAGTATGTACAGAGAAGCAAGACAAAGGAAGATGTGAAAACAATGCAAGCCAGAAGACAATCCAGAAACATCCGTAATGCAAAACGGCACAACCACAGAGAAACCACCACCTTTGGGAAAGGAGGAATGTGGAAAACTTCAGGCATACAAGAGCTGAAAGAAGTAATCAGTAACACACGCGCATCGCAAGGAAGGCCGAGGGAGATCCTGCAGGCAGAAGGAGCATAAGGCCAGATGCAGGACTCTGAACAGGAGAGCATGTAGCTAAAAGGCAGAGTTATTTGTATTATTTTAACCTCTTTAAGGATTATTGGCTGCTTGTTAAAATAACTCATAGTAGTGTTCACATCATATGTACACAGAAAATATATGACAACAGTTTAAGTCCAGAAGAGAAGGAATGTAAGGATACTACCTAGTGAGTTTCTGTGCCACATGTGAAGTGATAAACAGTACTTGGCGGTAGACTGGGCCAATTAAATACATATACAAGAAACTCTACGGCAGTCACTAAAATTATGAAACAAACAAACAAAAAACTGTTATAAGACAATAAAGTAGATGAAACTAAATTATGAAAGATCCTCAGCCCAAAAGAGGGCAAAACACACAAAGAACACATGTGATAAACAGGAAACAGCAGGACAGCAGGTTCAACCCCGCTACTCTGATGATCACATCCACATGTCAAGGTTCTGAACGCCCCAATGATAAGCAGCAACTCAGACGGAATTAAAAGGCAAGAGGAAAATGCATACTGCCCACAAGAACATAAAGACAGTAGAATGAAGTAAACAGAAGCAGATGCTAAGAGTTTACCAAGGCACTTGAGGATACCGTGTAACCATAAGAAGGCATTACATCACTAAATGCTTCCTCACCAAACACAGCTGCAGAACACACAAAGTACTCATAGACAGGACCTTCTAGACACCTCACCCTGGCAGCCACTAACCTGTCCCCCAATTCCATAAGTCTGTTTAAAGGATACATAAACAGAATGGTACAGGTTCAACCTCAGAACCCCATTAGGACTCAATCTGGAATGACACATCTAGACTGAAGTGTAAATTAGAAGGTTCGATCCTGTTAGAAGTTTCTAAAACACCAAAGTAAGTTGTCCCCCACCCCTAGCAAGCACTACTCATCTCCCTACTCATCTCCCCGAGTCTCAAGGCACAGGACAGCTGACAGCCTTCCCCACACAGCTTCCTCATTCCTCACGATGGCAGACCTTTCAACGTGGACTTGAGGAATTATTTTGACCACTTCCTTTTATTACGAGAAAACTGTATGGAGTGATGGAGTGTTTGTCTTCCAGCTTCCCCATTCCTTCAGAGCCCCAAATAATAAGAATTTGAAATGCCAAGTCAAAAAGACGTTTCTAGCCGGGCGTTGGTGGCGCACGCCTTTAATCCCAGCACTCAGGAGGCAGAGGCAGGCGGATCTCTGTGAGTTTGAGGCCAGCCTGGTCTCCAGAGCGAGTGCCAGCATAGGCTCCAAAGCTACACAGAGAAACCCTGTCTCGAAAAACCAAAAAACAAAAGACGTTTCTAGAAACTCTCCAAAAGAAGCAGTGCTTGTTTCTTTTCTACAAAGAGCAGCCAGTGAGAAGGTTGTCAACAGTCTAAACCGCTATGCTATAAGGATGTCTGCAGCTAAACAGCACAACCAAGTAAATAATCAGTGTGCCATGCTGAAAATGTCAACATTCCCCAAAACATACAAAAGCAGACAAATGAAGATGTCCTTTTAGTGTGGAAAATCATATTTCCTCACAAAACCACTTGCTGCTGGAATGAACCAACTCAAAACAGATTAAAGTGTTCAAATAGGAAACTGCTAGAAGAAATACTTGTGTTTTGGTCTGATCAAGACTTTTTTGGGATCTAATTCCAAAAGTATAGACAGCAAGGCCAAGATAGCAGGTGTGATTACATCACCACAAGAGCTTCTCCACAGCAATCAGAAAGCAAAGCGATCTGTAGCGATATTAACTGCTATGCACCCCAAGAGAATTCAGTTAGATGCTGCTGATATAAAACGGAGGGCTTTTGTATGCAGCAGGTTTCAAAGATAAATATATTTCCTCTAAGTATGAAAAAAATAAGTAACTTTTTATTTTTTTTTATTTTATTATTATTTTTTTTTTGCCTATGAGAAACCCTGACAACAACAAATTCACAATGACAAATGCCACCAGGATCTAGCCACCTTGGCTCTCTTTAGCATCCTGAAATATTGCAAAGGGACAGAATCAAGTGCCAAGCTGGCCTCCCCTAAATGCCTCCTCGTTGATAGATTCCAGGCAGGCACAGCAGGATGAAAAGCAGCCATCCAATCCTGAGCTGCCCTCACCCTCAGCCATTCTTGTTCATTTTTTTTGCTGCTATTTCATGTGCTGTTTCAGGCTGGGAAAATCAGACAAACAAAACTCCTATGCCCACAGAAGCTTTATTCCAATACACCCCTATCCCTTGTATATTTCTCTGCCCCTGCCCACCAATCCCTCTGGTCCCTTACCCCTTTATCATCTAGTCCCCACAGGGCAAAGGGAAGGATCCCACCAGCTGCAACTTGGCAGCCCTGGTATAGAACTGCATTATCCAAAGGCAATG